GACTGTCTAGAGCCACTGCTATTGTTAAACAACCTCTACTGCGTGAACTCTTTCCTAGGTCGGCAGTAAAGAGGCTCCTGGAAAGGAAATTACACCAACAATAAGCATGTCAGAGGCCAAACAGTCCCCAACCCAAGTACTGACCAGGTCCTTTGGCTCCTCCTTGTAAAATGCGGCCCAATCTAAAGATGATGGCTCTTTCATACTCTTTTATAATCTAGGATAACAATGCAAATCATAATTAAAACAAAATATAAATATTTACACACACAGCTTCTTCAATATATATTTCTGCTTTAGGCAGATTAGAGGCTTCATATTTTTTTCTGTACACCCAAAAAATATTCTACAAATAGCCTGTCTAATATTTACTTTTTTTTTTTTTTACTGACTATAAAAAGTCATAGCTATGCATTGCATAAATTGGGAAAGTATAGAAGAGTACACAGGAACAAACCCATACCCTCATCCCTCGGCTGTTCACATTATTCAATAAATGATGCATTGTTAATCAGACAAAAAAAAAAAAAAAAAGAAAAAAAAAAACTGAAGGCCCCGTTTTTCAGTTTTTCCTCTAGGGTGCATGTGCTCACCAGAGAGAGACAGTGAGAAGGAAAGTGAGAAATCGCCCCCCAGGTGGGGTGGCCATGCCACAATCCCTTCTCCTCCTGGGATTTTGGGCATGCATGTACATGCACCCAGCATGATTTTGAAGCTGCCAGGTTTGGGACTTGAACCATGGTTGGCCATGTGGGAGCCCAGCGCCTTAACCGCTACATCACCTGCTGGACTCTTCCTCTGAGGTAGGCAGGTGGCAATGTGATTAGGGTGCTGGACTCCCACATGGCCGAATACAGTTTGAGCTCTGGACCTGGCAGCTTGCTTTCTCACTTTCCCTTTTTATCTCCGGTCAAGTTAATAATAATAATAAATAAAATTAAATAATTCTTTAAAAAAATTGTAGTCATGCTTATCTGAAACTGGAGCATATTCGATCACTTTAGGAATACGTAAACGATAATCATCTATCCAAGTATTAATGACGTTGTAGAGAAACTCACAAGCACATGAGGGCACTTAGAGTGTGCCAGGCACTGCGATGAGCACCTTTGGCCATACTAATTCACTTAACCCTCACGGATGTCCTATGAGCTTGGCCCTGTTCTCTTCTCCCATTTTACAGGTGGGGAAGTAGGACAAAGGTCACATGGCCACCGTGGAGGCAGGAATCAAGCCCCACCATCCTGACTCTGGGGGGAGTGAAATGTTCTTACCTTTATGCACATCCATACTGATATTGGGAAAGTTATGACTGTGAATAAGAACGAGACGGCCACCAAAATCCATCCACAAGGTCCAAGGCCCGAACTGGGGCTATCTGTTGAAAACAGAAATGATCACTGTCATCAGCACGGCACCACCATCTGCACCCTTGTGGTCACTGAGCAATGTGCCTGGTGTGCTAGCCCAAACAGGAATGTTCCCACCTTGTCCTCATCCAAACCTTCCCTAATCAGCTTCACGTGGAACACGAGCGTTTTCTGTAGTACCCAGTACTTGTCCCAGTGCTCGCACCTGCTATTTACACCCTGTGCTTTGTATTGAAGGGATAAAAATGATCAAGAACCTCCCAGTTTTCGAGAAGGTTGAAGTTGTGTAGGTGAGACAGATACACAGATAATTACAATCCTCGTCACTGAGGACAAATATAGAGTACCTGTTCAGAATATTTGAGAACACAGACTAGAGTAATTCACACAGTTAGGTGAGATTGAAGTGGGGTGGCAGGTGATGGTGGCGGTTATCAGAGGGCCTCTTGAAGGATGTAACAGTAAGGGGAAAACGATGAAAAGGAAGGGACAGAAGTGAGCATTTTGGCAGAGGGTACAGCATGATTAAAGGAAAAGTTCATAAGGCTCTACACAAGTAGAAATCTGTTTAGAGCTTCTTCTTTCATTTTTTTTTAAAGGTTTTTGCTCTGAGTGCATGTGCTCTTTGGAGAGAGACAGGGAGAAAGTGAGAAATCACCCCCCAAGAGGGATGGCCATACCACAATCCCATCTCCTCCATTCTCCTCTAAGGATCTTGAGCACGCATGCACATGCACCCAGCATGGTTGTCAAGTCACCAGGTCCAGGACTTGAAGTGTACTCGACCATGTGAGAATCCAGTGCTTTAACCACTGCACACCTACTGTCCCCTATAGTTTCTTTTTAAAAATGACACCTGCAAAATATTTCACTGGGTGTATGCATCATCATTTAGTATCTGTTTCATAATTATTAGACAAGTTTCTAATTTCTTACTATTATAAATAGTAAGAAATAAATTTGTTTTTCCCTTTTCTATAATATAATATAGCTTTTCTACCTGATTAAAAGAAAATACATGCGGGACTAGCAGTTAGCGTAATGGCTATGTCGCTGGACTCCCATGTAGTCGACCGTGGTTTGCGTCCTGGACCCGGTGGCTTAAAACTCACGCTGGGTGCATGTGCGTGCGTGCCCAAGATCCCAAGAAGAGAATGGAGGAGAAGGGATTGCGGCGTGACCATCCTCCCTGGGGGGTGATTTCTTGCTTTCTGTCTCTCTGTCTGTCTGGTGAGCACACACCCCCTATTGAGAGGAAAAATTACTCTAAACCCAGAGAGAATAAATATTTTGATACATTCTTCCAAACTCTTATACACACAGCCATATTTGTTAAAAGTAAAATCTGTAAACCATTTATGTCCCCTCTAGCAATTGTCCCTTTACCTTCTCTTTCTTTTTTATTAATTGGCAGAGGGCCTGACCCAGAGTGGGAGAAAGTACCCCCGCAGTGAGGTGTGGTCAATAGCACCCTTCTCCTCCATCTCTCCATCCTGTAGGGATTTGGGGCATGCATGAACACACACCCAGAGAGTGTGTGTGTTCCAGGCTATCGGGGCCAGGATTTGAACTGCAGTCAACCATGTGGGATCCAGTTCCTTTGACCATTAGGCTACGGGGCTGGCTCTTTTACCTTCTTTTTCAGTCTTTGTAGCTAAACATTTTTAATCCTTTTGATTTAGTTTTAGTTTTGTTTTTTTTTTTAAATCAGTTACATCTGCATAAAGTTTAAAAAGACAACAGTTCTTTAAGATTAGTGCAAAAAAGGGCCGTTCCCTACTCATCCATTCCAATTTCTTTCTCCTCAAAAGCAACTGTTCTGTGGCTCAGTATTTCGGTATTTACCTACATGTTTCTAAATAATATGCTTGTTCTGTTGCTTCTTGTCTTTTTAATTTTGAGTATTATCTATTGACTTTCTTATTAAGGACTTTCTTATTAAGAGGATGTTCTCTTATCTCCCCCTTACCCCACAAGCATAGACCCATCCTTCCAATATATCATAATTTGTTAGATCAAGTCCAAATTTTATTATTACCACGAATATGAGTGTGCTATTCAAAGCTAAGCCATGTAGTGAAGTATCATTAGTTTCCCTTTCTTATACAACATATCTTTTTCTAGTTTTGCTACAGGGCACACGTACCTGCCAGAGAGAGACTTGGGAGGGGGAGTGGAATGCCACGCTGCAATCTCTTCTCTCAGGATTCTGGCATGCATGCATATGTGCCCAGAGTGATTCTCAAGCCCCTGGGTTCAAGACTTGAACTGTGCTACATGGGATCCACCGCCTCAATCTCCATGCCACCTGCTGGCCCTTTTTCTTTTCTTTTCTTTTCTTTTCTTTTCTTTTCTTTTCTTTTCTTTTCTTTTTTCTTTTCTTTTCTTTTTTTTTTTTTAAGAGTTCATGCTTTTCTTTCCCCCCTTTGCTTAGCTCTTTCAATGTACTTCTTACTGACCCAACTTCCAACTCTTTATCAACTGTCTACACCTCCTCTCAAAATGGTCAGTTATGCTAGCAATTTCATCTTCTGAAAGAAGTCTCTCGAACCCTTGTCTGGACTTTTCTCATGTGGCACTCATGGCTATCAATCTGTGATTGTCTTTCCCTAACCGTCCCGGTCATTCCCATAGCCTCCTGGGTTGTGTTTTGAATTTTTGGTATGTACTCAGCATCTTCCTCATCTTCAGTTTGTTTTTCCTCTCTGTGGAGGGGCCAAGGAGACCCAGACACAACACCGATTTTCCCACAGAAGGCTTCTGCTACACTTTGAAGAGCCATTTTAAGGATGGGAGGGAGTTGGGCAAGAGAGGAAGAGAAATGGCAGGCATGTGCTATTGCTCCAAAGAGCCAAAGGGCAGGGAAGCAGGACTTGGAATAAACAGGAGGCCAGGAAATGAGCAGAGTTCAGACGGGGAGCCTGGGAGCCTGCTGGCACCCAGGACAAGAGCTCTAAAACACGGGGCAAAACCCAGAAACGCTGAGCATTTGGTTATAGCGGGCTCCAGTTTTCTGATTCTGTGTCAGCGTGTGAGATCAATGTCCTCAGTCATACTGAAAGTGCCCTATGTTGACCCTGGAGGTTTCTGTGTTCTAATTTTGGGGGTTCAGACTTACTGAGAGGACATATGAAGTGGGACACGGTGCTACTTGTGGAGAAAGCTCCATCAGGTGTTACCACAATGACAGCGGTTGCTCTGAATGGTTCTCTAGGCCTAAGACACTGTGTCAGGTTGCTCTGAATGGTTCTCTAGGCCCAAGACACTGTGTCAAATTCCTTTAGTCCCGTATCTAAAGGATAAGCACTTTATTTATTTAGTTAGTTAGTTATTAAGGTTTTTGCCATAGGACATGTGGGCTCACCAGAGAGAAACAGTGAGGGGGGAAATGGGAAATCACTCCTGGGGGTAGGGGGGATGACCATGCCGAAATCCTTTCTCTTTCATTCTCCTCCTGGGATATTGGGCATGCACTTCATGTGCTGGAGTGATTTTCAAGCCACCAGGTCTGGGACTCAAACCATGGTTGGCCATGTAGGAATTCAACGCCTTAACCACCATGCCACCTGCTGGCCCCTAAGTACTTTTATTAATTGCCAAAATGTGTGTGCTCACCAGAGAGAGACAGAGAGACAGAGAGAGGGAGAAAGAAAGGGAGGAATGGGATGTGTAGTCATACCGCAATCCCTTTTCCTCCATTTCTCAGCCTGTCAATATTCGGGGTACACACACACACACACACACACACACACACACACACACACGCCAGGCATGGTTTCCAAGCTGCCAGAGCCTGGTAGAGCTATGTGGGATCCATCTCTCTTAACCATTGGCCCGGGACTAGGTATTTTTAAGTCCATTCTATGGAACGAGGTAAAACTGAAGCCATCTAACTGTCCCAAGGCCACACAATGGAGAACAGGTCATCTTACTACAAAAGCCCACGTTTAAATCAGTTCACTCTTTGACGCTTCACCTCCAAATAAAAAAGTCTCCATTAAAGATGTTTTCATTGCAGAGCGCTTTCTCAAGATAGCATCCAAACTGGGAAAGCTTGGTGGGAGTTCTGAGAATGAAATCCGATATTTTTATAGAGGAAGCCCTCTTACTTCCAGCTGTGCCTATTTATAGCAAAAGGCAGTCTGGAGGCTCTGTGCTGGGCTTGTCTAGGTTTTCAGAGTGAAGTGGGTTCCAAATGAGAGATTAGAACAAATAATTAACTGGCAGCATTTGGTGCTTTAGAAAAATACTGCTCCGAGCGTCCCGTATACCAGGCAAAGTACATAACTTTTTGTCTTGAACACACTAGACTATAAATTCCACGAAGACAGGGGATCTTTTTTACTCCTTTAAAAATCTCGCCAGTGAGCTCCTGTACTCTCCAGAGAGAGAGAAACAAGAGACAGACAGAGATGGAAAGTGAGAAAGCATTCCCTCCTACCCATGGGGAATGGTCAGGCTGCAATCCCTTCTCCTCAGTCTCTCCCTCCTTTGGGGATTTTGGGCACACATACGCGGTGCCGGGTGTTTTTTAAAAGCCACTGGGTCCAGGACTCAAGTCAGCCATGTGGGATCCAGTCACCTTAACTATAATGCCATGACCTAGCCCTCTTAATTATTTTTATATTCCCAATGTCTATCATGCAAAAAGTATGAAATTTTTTTTTTTCCTCTTTTTTTGGAGAGGTTTTTTGCTATAGGGCGTGTGCACTCGCCAGAAAGAGACAGAAAGTGAGAAATCACCCCCCAGGGGCAATGGCCATGCCGCAATCCCTTCTCCTCCATTTTCCTCTCGGGATCTTGGGCACGCACGCACATGCACCCGGTGTGAGTTTAAGCCAACGGGTCCAGAACTCGAACCACAGTCGACTGCATGGGAGTCCAGTACCATAGCCATTACGCTAACTGCTGGTTCCCAAAAAGTATAAAATTCTTACCAAGCTTTCCAACTATAAATTTTGTTTAACATCTTCTGAATTTATTTATTTTGTCTTGCCAGGGATAGGTA